AGCGCTTCATTGACGATGTGAAGAGCACACCAGGACTGGATTACACAGCTCTTGTATGCGGCTTCTGGTACGAATTCAGTCTCGCAATGGGGGAACCGTGGTTTGGCTTCCGGATCCGCGATAGGAGCGTTACAATGTACGGGGATGGGATGAAGAAGGTCAATGTGAGTACGTGGGACGCTTGTGGGAGGGCTGTTGCGGGGCTGTTGTCTCTTCCCGTCACAGCAAATGGTGCTGAGGGTGGTGTTGTGTTGGAAAAGTGGAGGAACGAGGGCGTTTACATTTCCTCTTTCCTAGTGTCTCAACGCGATATCCTGGATAGTTTACACCGGGTGCTCGGGACGCGGGATGCGGATTGGACAATCAGATATGAGGATGTAGAGAAGAGGTTTGGGGATGGGATGAGGGAGTTGGGAAAGGGGAAGATGTTGGGGTTTGCGAAGGCGCTTTATGCGGCGGTTTGGAGGAGTGAGGGGGCTGATTATGAGAGTAATGGGGGTTTGGATAATGGGGTGTTGGGTATGGAGAAGGAGGATTTGGATGGGGCTACGAAGAGGGCGGTTGAGATGGCGATGGGGCCAATGGGGGATGTTGAGGGGCAGTTCAAGTAAAGGGACTTGGTGGGATGTGGGGTTGTGACGTTGTAATTTGAGCAAGGAAAGAGCGATGATGATATCGCAGATAGGAAATCGTGTAGCTAAATTCGATGATGTTGTGGAAGGCGCGATGATGTACCATCGGCCATCATGGTTCATGCCCTAATCATTCGGCGTCTACCCCACCTACATCCTCTCGTTAGCATCTGCCTTCCCTCAGTCATTCAAGGCAACTTACCAAGATTCCTCCTACTCGATACGCCTATTTCCAACCCCTACCCTTCTCTATTTTCCCCTCGCTCACAGGTGAACCAAAAACATTCCATTGCGTGGAGCTTCCGCGGACCTGCCATACCGACTCTTCGTCCTTCTTGTCATACGATTTCCTCTCCTTCCAGTCTTTCCAGCGCTCGCGCAGCGATCTCTTTTCCTTGATGTCCGACTCAGGCTCGGGCTCTGCCATGAGAGCAGCGAGGGTTGATGCGGGGACGCCACTGCCTTTGTGACGCGACTGTGCGAGCGCAGAAGCAGTCTGGGGATTGACGGGTGCTCCAGTTGCGGTTTTGCCATATTGCGGCGGTGGCTTACGTGAAGGCTTGGGGTCGTAGGATATTGGTAGGTCTGGGTCTGGACTCGGTTTTGTGCTCGATGATGTTGGGGTCGATGCCGCAATCTGCTTCGCCTGCTCGCCTTCCTTAGAATCCATGTCGTGGGCGGCCAACACGCACAATGCCAGCGTGTGTAAGGTTTGAGGTACGTGGACTGTTCGCAGGATACAGCAATCTGACGATGCTCAGGCGTGCAGCACAACGTTCACAATACATGTTAGCGAGTTGTAGTCAGCCTTGGCCCACATCTGCAGTCAGCATCGTATCATCGATGCATCCTGCCACCTGCCAGTGCCGAACACCCGAATGCGAAAGAAACATATGCGATGATAGGCCGTCATGGGCGCGCCGAGAACCCCGAGTTGCGGCAACAAGTCGACCCAGCATGATCTCAGGCTTCACAAGATATTAGATCCAAAATCAGACACGATAAGAGACTCTACCCAGGGAGGTATGAAGTTGCGTTAATCACGATGTCGCAAGAAAGATGGTGTTGATGGCGCGCGACATTGATGACGCCATGTACTCGATTTGTCAAAGCTTCGGTGGCGGAAGCTCTCCGCCACCCCTCCGCATCATCTCCAGTCCGACGACGAACAAATACTCTACCATAACAACGACCACCACCTTCCCATAAAACGAATCCATATGCGCTTCCCTTCCTTTCCCACATTCCTCCGCGCCTTCCACACGGTCACCAACACAACAAGCGCTTTTATTCGATCGAGTCCTGCTAGCACGCTCGGTCGCACTATCTACAACACGCCACAGCGCGCAGTCATTTACCGTTCGATGCCAAATATCCCCTTCTTGGGCGCCCTTTTCGGATCTTCTAGCAGTATGGCGGACAACACGAACTACCCAGTCCAGAAGCCCGAGGGCGAGTGGCAAGCACAGCTATCGCCAGGTACAACAGCACCTGTCCCAACTACCAGCGCACGGTCACTAACACTACGATAGAACAATTCCGCATCCTCCGCAAGAAAGGCACCGAAATGCCCGGCTCCAGCAAATTCGACAAGCACTACCCCGACGCCGGCGTCTACAAGTGCACCGGTTGCGAAGCGCCCCTCTACAAGGCAAATCACAAGTTCGACTCTGGCTGCGGATGGCCTGCGTTCTGGGATGCCGTTCCTGGCGCGGTGGGACAGAAGCCCGACCCCGGTCTTGGCATGATGAGGACGGAGATTGTCTGCAATAACTGTGGGGGTCACTTGGGACATATCTTCAAGGGCGAGAGGTTTGGCAACCCCAAGGATGAGAGACACTGTGTGAACGGTGTTTCGATTAACTTCAGTCCTGATGATAAGAACTGAGGGTTGGAGGTTCGTCTTGGATGAGTTGAGTGGTGTATATACGGGGGTGTGATACTAAGTGTATTAGTGACGACGAAATGAGAGACGACGTTGATCAGTGGCTTTGAAACACTCGCGCATGATGTGCAGTAGTTGCTGGTATAGCTTGCTTCGCCTTATGACCGACTCGATTCAACGGTTTGAGCCTCCAGATAATGCTAGACGACTATATGAGGCTGCGGATTGGTACAACTGATACATACGACCATAGGATCATGAGAATTAGGCTTCCCGTCCGCTCAGCCATATACAAGCATGATACCGGCGGATTAGTAGTTAGGTGGGTGACCACTAGCGAATCCCCGCTGTTGTATGTTTTTGCTCTTTTTTGGCCTAGGTCTGAAGGGGCGACTCTCGAACTCATGCCTCTCTTTTTGCCCTTCTTTTTGCCCTTTTGCTCTTGTTTGCTCTTTCTTTTGGTGACCTGGCTGGACGAGCAAGCTGATACATTCATCACACGGCTCGTCACGCGACGCTGATAGCAAACGCCGGTTCCTACATCTATCGACTTCTTCACGCATCCAGCCGACAACAGACAGCCCTACGATGACATCTAACACCGCTGACTATGATAGGACTGATGAAGTTGAAGGTTGCGCCATGTGCATGAAGAAATGGATCATCTCGTGTACGGGATGCGGCAACATCGGATACTGCTCCGAAAAATGCCAACAAGAAGACGCAGCACAGCACAACACTATCTGTGACACGTTCAAGGACTTCCAGACCCGGCCAAGCGACAAACACTTTCGAGCCCTGTATTTCCCCGCAGACGAGCCCAAGCCACGATTCATCTGGCTTCTCATGGACGGAGACCGACTCACTTGGAAACCCAATCCTACCGATCTTGCCAAGTATGTTCCAGGATCACCTTCGTCGGAGGACTCATTTATAACAGATCACCGTGTCGTGCAGGATGATCATAGCGAGAACCGGGACCTCATAAAGGGTTTGTGCATCGAGTATGATCCGGGGTCCCAAGGTCAGTCAGGCAGCCACAAGGGTCCGGCTTCCATGGAGCAGTCAGCCAACATGTGCTTTGCTAGAATGATTGGGCCAGATGTTGGCGGTCTTCGCCGTGGTGGTCAGGTTGGACGTGTTCATGGGTGGAATCCTGAATATGGACTAGAGTCAGGGGATGTGGATTGCACTTCGTTGGGTCCGCTTCTGGCATGGGTCACGGAGGTCACTTTGTATTAGACATCTGGGGGAATGCTGCGGATCTGACTGCGAGGATTGTGTTCGTTCAGGACATAATGGGGCCCATGGATATGTATACTAATAGGATCTTGACTAGCATTCACACCCAACGATGGATCGATATACTCTAGTAGCTTTGAAGCCAGCGAACCTGTCAGCAATTTCACCATAATCACGCATGCAATTCACTGGTCCACCTGCTTTCAGCACAGTAGTTCACAGTGCATGCCCGGATCATTGATCAGATACACTACCCTCTCACATACCTCGACAACTCCAGCTAGGTTGGCTTGACCAACTACCACGACGCAACTGCACACAAAAATCATCAATAGCTGCTGCGTTGCAACCCGCCATCATGTCCCGATACCGTCTCAGCAACGTCTTCAACGACCAATACACCTACACCTACACCACACTCCCAAACCCAGACCCCGAAGCCGAATGCTTCATCTGCAAAACCCCCTACTCCCCGCACGACCCCGAAGGCTGCCAAGCAATCCAACTCCATCCCTGCGGTCACATGATCGGCCACTCATGCTTCACCGAATGGATCAACCGCGCACCTCAATCATGTCCTTACTGGTCCCACCACCTCCCTCCCACGCTGAAACCCTCGGTTGGCGACGAAGATCTCGAAGTCAAGTTCCTCCGTTGGTTGGTGCATACAAAATGGATTACACAGATAGACCACCACCACGACTTCCACCTTGAGATTCTCACCCCCCTCAAGTGGCGCAGACGCGCACTGTGTGCCGTGGAAGCGCTGGCTAAGGGCGCCCTCAAAGACGAGGACGTTGATGTGCTAACCAAGGCTTCTTTCCTCACGTTCATGGACGCGGTGTTTCGGCGTGAAATATACGCAAGCAGCCGTGTTTTCGTGGTAGGCCTTGGGGTAGAGCTCATGGGTCGTGCGATACGACTTTACTTCTCGATTGGATCCGACAACGTGTTCTTGGATTTAGTAGGTAGATTGGTGTGGTTGACCATTCTTATAATTTGGGTTTCGATACTGGTATACGCGTGCGCTTATTCTGGGGTTACGTGGTGGGTGTTGAAGTTGGGTGTGCGGCGGCGTGGCGCCACTGAGCGAAGGAAACCTTTTGGCATGCAGGAGTTGTTTTGGAGTGGTTTTCGATTAGGAAAGAAGTCTAGATAAACAGAAGGTATATATGTACAAAGATATAGGTATGAAGGTTACGGGGCTACGTAGATCAATATCCCGAGAATTTTGGAAGCGTTCATTGACGCTTGACGTACTCGACAGGTCCATCGTACTTGTCCTTCCCGATTACGTAGTAGTAACCCATGGCAAAGACGACAAGTACCGCGAACATGACTATGGACCAGTTCATATCTGCCAAAGACGGGTTTGGGACCTCGGGGAAGCAAATCAACACGATAGCCAGAGAGAGGTATGTAATAGCAATGATGTTGATGTAAAGGCCCGCCTTGCCAAGGTCGAATTTGGACGGAAGGAGTGGTTCTCCGAGGACTCGCTTCCTGATCATGCAGCCGATGACGATGATGTTGGCAGTGAAGATACCAAGACCTCCGAGAGCGATGACGATGTTGAAGGCGATGGCCGAGCCGATGTTGATCAAACTCAGGAGCGCGGTTCCTACGAGGGTTGCGATGACGGAATTGACGGGGATGTCCCAGCCTGGTGGTACCTAGGATCGTGATTAGCGAAAGGATCAGGAAGCGGGAAGGATGAACGTACGTAAGCGAACCAGTTGGAGAATGGGAGACCTTGATCACGGGCGAAGGACCAGAGTTGACGGGATGAAGCTGTCACCTGGTTGACCGAGCTGAACATGAGCAATGAGCAGATGAGTACCACCAGGATGTTGGTGGCCACAATAGATCCCGTCGCATTCAACAAGATCTGGATCCATGGCTGGCCAAGCGGGGTGGCGAGAAGCGTGTCGAGGTCGTTGCCGAGAGTGGAGAAGACAGTGACGGTCATGATGAAAGCCAATGAGTAGTTCACAACAGCCGTGGAGACCATGGCTCGAGGACTGACCCACGCAGCATCCTTGACCTCCTCAGCGAGATGGACGGCCAAGTCAGGGTCTCCAAGAGTAAGGATGGGACCAAGAATACCGACGAGAGTCGCGAGACCTGTATTACCCCAGCCACTGGGGTCTTCGAAATGGGTCCATGTGGTTGTGACATCCGAGCGCTCGCCCATAACCCAGAGTACGACGACGAAGGCGAAGAATCCGAACACATGGAGGACGAGTCCGAAGCCTTCCAACAGGGGAAGTTTCCTGACGAGAACAGTGTTGCACAGGATCGAGAACGTGGTGATGGCGATGGACAGAAGGGTACTATGCCAGCCTTGGATAACATAGGACGGCTTGTTCAGCACGATCAGAGCTGTGAACTGATCGGCGACCGCAAAGGCCGTACCAGCCATACCTGTTTGCCATGCGATGACACACAGCCATCCTGAATGGTTCGGTCAGTACTGCATACATGCTGCGTTCAACCAGAGGTAGCATACCGGTGATGTAGCTGAGTATCTTTTGATATTTCCTTGGAGCCAATTCTGATATCCAATGATATTGCCCACCAGCTGTTGGAGCCCTACGTTTGTGTTAGTGAGACGCATTGATGTCTTATCAGTTTCACAATCACTTACATGGACACCATCTCTGCCAATGAAAGCGTGACGAAGAACATGCCGAAGCAGACAACGACAAGTAACCAGATACCACCGGCAGCTCCTCCATTGTAGAGTGAGATTCCGATACCACTACAGAAACGTCAGCAGTCTTCTTCGTCTTCGAGGAACAGTAACATACATCAATGCGTATTCCCATGTACTGCCAAGGAGTACAGCAAAGCCGAAGATGGTCAAGAACTTGAATTGCCGCTGATCTCTTGTCAGTATATCGGAACCTCTCCGGCGGGCGTTTTCAACATACCCTCAACTCCTGCAGCTTGCCCATGCGGTCCATATCGCTCTCATCACTTTGCGTGCCATGCTTTTCACCCACGGCAGTCTGGTTTGCCAGCTCGATGCTGTTGGGAGAGTCGATCGCCTCCGAAGGACCCTTCATCATGCTGTCGTTCATCGTCGCGATGCGTGCATGCCACAAGTAGATGGAGGAGTGTAGTCGGTAACCAGTAATCAGAAGAAAAGAAATTCGACAGGGTGGTTCCGATGTCTGCTGCGGGACGGACTATCCCATTCGAGAGGGTGGCGCTGGGTGGAGCAAACGTGCTCAGCTGTCTCGTTCGCTTGGCGATACTGCAGGGTATCTGGTACGTAATGTTGGGAATCAAAGGATCTGAGGATCAGATTGGAGACCGGGGGCCTGGCGCATGCTACGAGCTTGTTCGCGTGTTCGCAGGTTTTCATGTGGCAGTGGGACTCTCTGGACGCACTGGACAGGTTCAGTATGCTCCGCAGCACGTATTGTAGGATCTAGATGCCCTTCGCTTATGCGCAGAGAAATGGCAGTCACAGAAGGACCGGCTTGCGCACCGGCTTGCGCCGCAGAACTGCCGTTAGTCTAGGATCCTGACGGGTCGGGAAGCCCTCGCGTGGGATGGCTGCTCGACTGCATTTCTCCTGCGTCGGAGCTTTAACCGGATGAGAACATCGTCTTTGGCGACTGCAAGCATGATGACACAGCGACATGTTGATCTGCAACATCTTCGTGAAACTGCCATGCGTGGAATGCAGCCAGAGATACGATGCGAAGATCGAAGATGGGGACGGTGGAGTGGTACATGTGAAATGAAAGATTGTTCTGAATGATGGTGTGGGGTGAGTGGCGCCGACGGGACGGCTGGTGGGCTTCTGGAGACTTCAGGCCTTTAGCGCAGGGAAAAGCTTGAGTCAGCCCGGGCCGCTGGCCGCGCGTGTCAGGACTCGAGGACAGCATTGCGAGCTACAATCAGACCACGCCGATGCAACTCACAAATACTTCCACGAGTGAAGCGAGCCAAATACATATTAACGTGATCTTGTCTACTGCGCGCTGTAAATCTCTGACGCGAGAAGCACCGAGAGTCTTACGACAGACTCGCCCTCTCCCGTACAGCCCCAAATACCCGGTGGGAGCGGGCTGCGGGAATTCCGACCTCTTCGTTTTATGTATGTACAGTAGGGCCGTACTGCATACTTGTTGCTCTCTATATACAGGCACGGCACGGTTCGGTCAGGGCTCGGCCGGTTGCGCACGAGGAAAGATCGATCGGGATTGGATGCTGGGTATCATCATCTCGGCATCCCAGCCCTTGGCGACCAATGCAGGCAAAGTCCCGGAGGCGAGCGGCTATCAGGAGCCAAGGTAGCGACCCAGTATTCGGGATCACTCTTGCGCCTCACGTTCGCGAGTGTGATGGAGGGACATGAGTGACACGGTAAGATCTGTTCTTTGAGGCCCGACATGTTTCCAACAACCAACGGTGTCCAGAACCTTATTACTGCATGTCGTGCGCAACATAGCAGTCGTTTATAACGCCTTTTTGCCAGTCGGTTTGGCCTCACGCGACAGATGGCGTACTCATCCAGTTCCTCGCTCCTGGCCAGGGCGTCGGACAACCGCTTTGCCCGCATCACAACCACCGATCGGGGCGCGACGCTTTGGGTCGTCACGCTTCTTTCCATGATTTATGCGATCCTGGTACTCGCAGTTCGTCTCGGGTTCACGAAATGGAGAGCGCATACCTGGGACGACTTTGTCGTCGTAGTTGCACATGTACGCGTCGCGAACCCCCCCGCTTTTACTGCCTTTATCAGTATGACCCGAAGCTGACGTCAACACAGCTTTTGGCGTTCAGCATGTGGGCCTTCCTGTTTTCAGCGCTGAAGAGTGGTCTCGGAAAGTCGTATAGCATCTTAGAAGATGCAGAGATATCTAAAACACAAGAGGTCAGCCAAAGGTCTCTTTTCTACCTCCGTTTCATCCAATACGATGATATACGCTGACACTTTGGATGTTATCAGCTTTATTATACGAGTTGCATCCTGCTGTACATTGCACTCGCTTTTTCGAAAGTCTCTATCCTCATGCTCATCCGGTCTGTATTCGCGCGGAACGTCAAAGTCTCCATACTAGCGATTGGCACCGGCGTGGTCGTAGTGGTGTTGGGCCTGATCGGAGCCATTGCAACCACGACCGAGTGTTCAGTTGATACCGTCATACCGAAGCCTGGGGACGAGTATTGCGTCGATTTAGTAAGTCTAACCTCCGTCTGCTTCGAAAGGCAGTAGCAGCTCGCATGAGTGGTGCCTCATATCTGGTGCCGTCCCTGTCAATGTTCTCTTGTCAGATCCACACATGTTTCTGCACAAACACTGACTTGTCAGATTCCCTGGCTCAAAGCAATTACTGTCGGTGACATGATCACCGAGGTAACCATCATGGCCTTGCCGATAATAGGCTTCCACTCGTCTCTCATGTCGATCAAAAGTAAATTCATCGTTGTGATGGCCTTTTTTACGAGGATACCGTACGTATGAACCCCGGATCGAGCTGGCAACGACACTTACAACTTTTAGAAACGTTGTCTTTGCTCTTATGCACTTCCTTGCATATGCCAAATTCGTAGAGAGCCGTGAATCAGCCATTCGCATCGTCCCGACCGTCGCCTGGCAAAGCGTTCTTCTTTCTTTCAACCTCATATCCGCAACAACTCCACTCCTCAAAGGGTTCACCCAAGGATTCATGACACAAGGAGTATCCCTAGGATACTTACGTGAGGGAACAACAGGCGGAGGTAGTGGGATGTCAGGCGGCAGTTATGAACTCAAGTCCCTGACGAAGAGTACTCGATCGAAGTCGAAATTCTCGTCGCTGAAGCTGACGCCGTCGGATGCATATGCCACCACAACAGTCGAGGGGAACTCCGAAGAGGATACTCTCCCACCCTCAAGACTAGACCGCTTAAGGGGTCAAGAGAGCTCCAGGAAATCGACCCTCCCACCCTCAAGGATGGACTGCATGAGAGGTCAGCGAGCGGAGCGTGCATCTATTGCTAGTCAAGAGTCGCAAAAGATCATGATCAAACAAGAATGGAAGATTTCGGCGGCGTAGACCGTAGGAGCATCTTTTCTGAGCATGTGGTGTTGTATGCCATGGGCTTGTACCGTAGCGTTCATTCCAATTTGTATGCAGGTGCCGAATTCGTTCTTCACTCGCACGACAAGGATTTTGCGATGCGCTTACCTAAGCCGCCGGGATTACCCCGCCAAGTGGCGACGCAACATTAAACTCCGACATCTCCAGGCAGGCGACCACCCACACTTCCCATTATCTCTTCACCAATAAGATGGCACCACTAATCTTTGGGACGGCACATTTCTGGTTCCGGGCGCTAACAACGGTCCTGAGATAGCGATAATGGCGTACCCATTCTTCGTCGTTCCCAAAATCGCTTCTTCGCTGCACAGCGACCCGTCACCTACACGCCGTCCCTTCTCATGAGACCTAGCCACGGAAAGCAACATGCTGAACCTCTACCATCAAGCGTTCTCGCGAATACAACAGCACCTGACGATGGAGATGAGCTCAAGAAAAAGAGGATAGGGTCGCGTGATCTGCATGTCGACACCCAGGCGAACACCACATCTTCCGTTATCGACGACGTAGAACAAGACAAGCCTACGAGCCGACCAGTATCATGGAGCGAATTACCTCGCAAGGACCAACTCTTCGTCCTGATGCTTGCTCGTCTTTCCGAACCTTTGACTCAGACCTCGCTAGGCGCATATCTCTACTATCAACTCCAATCCTTCGATCCATCACTCCCAGAGTCGACCATCTCGTACCAAGCTGGTATAATCGGCGCAGCATTTCCGGCGACTCAATTCATGACCGCCATGCTATGGGGACGCTTCTCGGATGCAGAGCACGGTGGCCGAAAGAGAACGATATATCTTGGGCTGCTTGGCACAATGCTTAGCATCATTGGCTTTGGCTTCTCGCGCAGCTTCGCCATGGCAGTGGCGTTTAGATGTCTTGGTGGTATACTGAACGGCAATGTCGGCGTGATGAGGACCATGATCAGTGAGATCATCAAGGAAAAGAAGTACCAGAGTAGAGCCTTCCTGATCTTACCTATGATCTTCAACGTCGGCGTCTTGGTCGGTCCTATCATGGGTGAGTATCATCGGGCTGTCTACATAGAAGAACGTACTGACAACAACAGGCGGTGTGCTAGCAGATCCCTTTGCCAGCTACCCTTCTCTATTCGGCCCCAACTCCACTTTCGGCGGCAAAGACGGCGTACAATGGATGAAGCGATACCCTTACGCCCTACCCAATCTCACGAGCGCCGTGTTCCTATGCCTATCATCTTTTGCCGTTCTCTTCTTCCTTGAAGAGACAGGTGAACTTTGCAAGCATAGGCCCGATCCAGGTCTCCGCGTTGGCCGATGGATACGTCGGACGATCTTTCGCCAGAACATCGCATCTGAAGATGGGTACAACGCTGTACCGCAGGATGACTTTGAGCTACAACCCACACCAACATCGGTACATGCACCATCATCTGCTAGTCTTGACAAGCCGAGGGTTATCGTTAGACAACAGCTACCCTTCCGTCGTATCTGGACTCGCAACCTCGTCACAACGCTCTGCGCGCACGGTGTTCTTGCTATGCACGTGGGTACCTTCAACGGCCTCTGGACTATTCATCTCTCTACGCCTCGCTTCGACCGCAGTCACCCATATCCTCCTGGTTTCACGCCTCACGGTCTTTTCTTTACCGGTGGTCTAGCCATGCCTCCAGCGCGTATCGGTATCGCACTTGCCATCATCGGTGTCATCGGTATACCCTTGCAACTCTTCGTCTACCCACGAGTTGCGCATCGTCTAGGTACAGTGGGTTGCTATCGTATCTTCCTCGCTCTCTTTCCCGTGATGTACACAACAGCTCCGTTCTTGAGTCTTGTTCCTAGCTGGACGTCCCCGCCCGATGGTGTCAGCGGTCCGTGGATATGGATCGCCATTACATGTGCTTTGTTCATACAAGTCCTCGCTCGCACATTCGCCCTGCCGTGTACGGCTATACTCATCAATAACGTCAGTCCGCACCCGTCTGTCCTTGGTACCGTTCATGGCATAGGTCAGTCGGTATCCAGTCTTACCCGGACCGTGGGGCCAATACTCTTCTCCTGGGTATTCGGCAGGGGGCTGGATATGGGCATGATTGGACTGGCTTGGTGGTGTATGGCCGCTGTAGCCATCGCTGGCTGGGTGCTTGCACAGGGCGTAAAGGAAGGGAATGGGCATGAGATATTGCTTGACGGGGAGAAGGAAGAGTATGATTGAGAGTATAGACGTTAAGACATCTAGAGATATCATTTTTGGTGCAAGATTTGATTACCACCTGGCAGCTACCATCTACTCAGGCTTTTCACCCTCTATCCTTATCACACCTCATCATGCCTACGTTGCTTTTCATGAGCCATTACTTGCAACGCACAACCACCTCGTATCCTCCTCAGTCTGTCATCAGCAGCTTCTCTAGTGCACACCATGCTCTTGTATACATCTCAATTCATTGTCCCTAATCTCCAAGAGACTTACCCCACCATCATAGTCCGCAGACCTCAAGCTGCCGCCTCCTCCCCAAACCCCCCATTAACCCCCTCCTCGTCCGCAAACAACGCAAACACCTTCTCAATCCTCTCCTTCGTATCCTTCGCAACCCCATCCACCTCACCCCCCAAAACCTCCATAAAAACATTCAACTTCCCCCTCCAATCCGCCACATCATCGCTCTCAAAGTCAATATCGGGATTAAACCACTTTGCCTTCGCCGCATCGATGACCCACTTTAGCGACCTGTTAAGATAGACGAGATGGGAGCCCCGAATTTCCTTGTTGGACTGCAGATGGGTTTGAAGAGAGATCATTTCGGAGGCGAAGAAGGTTTTGAAATGGGGGTTGGCGAAAGCGGAGACGAGAGTGGAGGAGGAGGTTATTTTTGAGGCGGAGAAAGAGCCCATGCCTAGTTCGACGTCGGGTTTGGATGCGGATTTGGGGGGTAGTTGGGGAGAGGGGGTTTTTAAGCGCGGTTTGGCTGCCGCCTTTTCGGTTGGTAAGGGTTTGGATGGTAGGTAGCCTAAGCCTGGCAATAGGGGTGGGGTGACCTTGGCGATGGGCGCCGTGGTCACGGGCTGTGGCGGCTGCGAGGGTGGTGGTGTGGGGGTGGGAGCTGTGACAACTGGGGGCGCGGCGGCGACATGGCTTGGAGACACGTCTGGCGCGTCGGCCATGTCGATCTCTGGAGAGGACATACTGCTGTTGGCTGCGCTTGAGCTGCTTGTAGCAGCCCTGAAGGCCGCCGCGCTGGGCTGTGACACCATCGAACTGGCGAGGGTAGTCGCACTGAAGGTCGACGCGGTACCCCAAGACGACGCCGAACTTCCAAAACTATCGGTGCTTGAAGACGACGAAGGTGATGACGCGGCAGAGGTTGGTGGACTACCAAACACTCCACCGCTCGCCTCGAACGCGGCCAGTTGGTCCATCGTGTCGTATTCACACTCCATCTCGTCTCCCTCCGTAATCTTCAACTTTTCTTGTTGCTGCTCCACAAAGCCATGTGCTATGGACCGCCAGGTGGACTTATGTCGCGCGAAGCGAGCGTCGAAGGGCTTGTGCATCGAGCTTGAACCGGTAAGGGGAGGGGGTTGGATGTCTATCCGGCGAAGTTTCTGGTCGCGCTTCTTTGTTGTGCGTACTGCTGGATGTGGCTCGCGATGGTTATGAACGGACAGGTAGGTGATGTGTGTCTTGAAGACGCGGGAGTTGAGGGTGCGGTCGTTAAGGGTGCGCTTGTAGGCCATATCGGCGGTAAGAGGTGATTCAAACATCGTGCTTGTTAATGACAGAGGCAGAGATAGATCGGTGTGATGTGTGTTCGCGAGATATGTGGTATGGGTGTCTTCGTGCTTGCGAGTAGCGGACGACAAGGGAGACGCTGTGGCTATTGTGGGATGTGAACGCGACGGTGACCGCGTATCGCTAGTGTGGGTCCGAAGCGCCCTCAATGCTGCGTGACCGGCATTAGTGAAGCGGTGTATAAGTCGAAGTGAATGGAGGTGAAAGGGCGGGCAAGAGCTCACGAACAGCCTGGTGGGCGTCACGAGCACACGCCCTGTCACTGAATCAATAACAGAGGGAGCGCTGCACATTGTACACAGCCATTACTATGTCTTAGAACGTAGACAATACTGGTCGAGAGGAGCTGGAGTAGGGAGGGCGTTGTGTGAGTACCACTTCGAAGCTCGACTTTGAGGTCCATATGGTATACAGTCAACTAATTTCTACTACGCGTTTGAAATGTTTATGTATTTATACTATCAGAAAACTCTCTACATACCTCCACACCCCCATCAAGCCGAATGACAGAGACTCATCCTTCAGCCCTCCTCTTAGACACCATCCTATCTTATACAAGAACAGAACTGAACAGGTCTGCAGGCTACATTGAGCTAAAACCTTGCAAAGTAGGGAACCTAACGTTAACGTAGGCTTCAGGCTATTCAGTCTTTTCCTAGGTTGGCGTGATCCTCATACCACCGCACTGTGCCCACCACAACACTAGAAATAAGCTCTATTCGCCACGTCCAAACCTCTTCTTCGGATCGTAACGCTCGATCTCTCCGCGAGCAGTCCGACTCGGTCTCGGCTTCGCTTTCGGCTTACTTACCTTGTCATCTTCCACCTTCTTTTCTGGCTTCTTTGGCTCTACTTCTAATCTACTGCCACGCTTGTTTGTGGCAGCTGACCGTTCATGTGCTCGACTGTCCACCTCACCAGTAGAACGCGCTGCAAACATCTTTTCTCGGCGTCGTGCCTCAACTTCTCGTGCCAGTGCATATCTGTCGACCGGCGCAGCTGGCTCCGCTGGTGATTCCACTACTGTCGCACGTTTGCTGCTACTCCTCTCTTGTGAATCTTCGCGACGGCGGCGGCGGCGTTGCCTGTCCTTCTCCTCTTCTCGGCGACGGGCCTCTTCCTCTTGAGCTCGTTTCTTCTCTTCGGTCTCTAGCTTTCGCTGGTTTTTTGCCTCACGTGCTCGCTGCATCTCGGCTTCCTCTTGTTGACGACGCTTTGCCACCTTTTCGTCGGTGATCTGCTTCGCCCGCTGTATCTCAGCTTCTTCTTGCTGAAGACGCTTGGCCAACTTCTCATCGGTAATCTGCTTCGCTCGCTCCATTCGCCTGTCGTCTTCTTTCTTCCGTGCAAGGACTGTTTCGTCCAAGTCACTTGAGCGTTGTGCTTGTTTCTCCGTTCCTTTCTGCTCTTTCGCGTCAATATTGGCAAGACCATGTGTTGGGCCTGTCTGGCGCGGCTGCGACTCTGTCATGTGGAGTCGACGCCCTTCTTGGTATGGGCTCTCAGACGGTCGTCTGGTGCTGCTTCTTGACATATAACGATCATCATTGTGTTTAGAAGCGGGAGATCGGCTTCGCCGTCTGGGCTCCCGATCTCTTCGCGAATTGCGCGAGTGGCGATCATCCTCGGGGTAATGTTGGCCTTCGCGTGGCCAATTTGGAGAAATCGACCGAGCACGATGTCGTTTCGCCTCCCCAGGAGCTTCATTGCCTTGTGCGCATTTGATGCTGGCAGTCGACGCGTCATTGTGCGCGACACTGCCATCTTTGTCTTGTACAAAACGGTCTGTCTTAGTATCCGTTCTGACAGGGGAAGGATCGGTGTGAGTGGTTGACGACTTGAAGCGCTTTAGCGGTCTGGTAATTACTTCAGGCTCGCATTGGTCGACAGACTTTCTCTTTTTGCTTATGTTAGAAGGCGATCGAGATGACGTGTCTGAGTTCGTATTATTCGACATCGTGGCGTCGTAAACAATATACTCATCCGCAAATCTCTCACCGCCAAACACCATGACGGTCCCCTCATTGCTTTCAATGACGGCCGGTCTCTGGTTTTGACCCTCCGTGGAGTTATCCTCGCTTCCTTCTGAGCTCTTTCTCTTCTGTTGCATTTGTTCCTGGCCACTGTCCCCGTCCACATCTTGCTTTCTGGCAGCTTTTGGGACGAGTTGAACGTAGCCGTAATCTTCAATGGAAGGTGGATCGGACTTCTCACTCGGTATGCAGGTTTCGACAGTACGGACGCGCTGGGGTGTGCTCCCGTTAGCATTGGCGTCGTGTTTTTTGAGTGAGGGCGGCGTTGGTGGCGGCGTAAGACTTGAAGCTGCGCTGAAGGTGTACTCCCTTGCGTTCACGTCAACCCCAGCCTCTGTCTCTGGAGTCCCGCTATTCGAGAGTTGCGTGGGATGGGTGATGGTAGAGCGCGGCTCGATCTCTTCGCCGTAGATGTTGGGTAGGGAAAGGCCGTCAACATTCGCATTGGCCGCGTTGCCTTGGTGATCAAACTGAACACTGGTGTCGAGCTGCTCTGAGTGTACGATGTAGTCGTCTCTTGTTTCCGACCAGACCTTGTATCCTGCCGACAGAGCTGCGTCGCGCTGTTTGTTAACTAATAGCGATGCCTTGACCTTTGCTTTTAGAAGATCCTTCTTGCATTGCGCTACATCCTTGGTCTGGAACGATGAGGTGACATAGTTTGCACGCCTATTGGAAACGTCTGGACCGGGGAATGGCGCGCCCTGAACGACGTCGTGCGCTGATGGTCCCGGCTTGTAGCGACCAAGTGCGGCAGATCCAATCTTGCTGACGAGCTCCTGGTGTGTAGGCTCGCGATCGTAAATCTTGCGGAAACCATCGGCATTGCTTGGTGGAAGTGTTTGTATACCAGCACTGCGGTACAGGACGTGTCCTTGAGTAGTCACCTCGGCTGTCGATGGGAGCGCCTCATGTTCCGACGACCCAGACTTGCCGTGTTTAATCGATGATGTAGCAGCACTAGAAAGCCTGCTTCCTGGTAGAGTTGCTGCGCTGGTAAACGTATTGTAGGGAGTTGTCTCGGCTGCGACGGCGCCGATATCAAAAGTGGTGTTGACATGTTCCAGAACCTGCTGCAGGCGTGCGTCGGCGGCGGGTGCTCGTTCAGTCATGACTGGTGATGTGGATACCGCGGACACGTGAGGATAGTTGGTCTGCGGACGTTGACAAGTGATGTCGCAATGTGTGGTAATGCAAGTCGGTGGAAGGTGCAAACGTAGGATCAGGGTCCAGCTGGACAATAGCAGCTAGCGCGGAACCAAGTCGAAAATTGCGTGCGTCAAACACCTCGTGAATCCGACGTCTCAATAAAAGTGAATACATGTTTCCCGAATAAGAATGTGTCTGAACCCTTACCCATCCATTGTTACATTGTTTCGATGACATTATGTGAATAATTCCTCGTCCAAATTGGCGTCCAGATCCGCCAAAAGAGATCAAGACGTGTACTTTTCCGCGCAGTGTCCTAGCTCCTATCGTAGCATATTCGCGATTATGGGTACAGAATCATGCTCAAGTAGTCGCTCCAGTACGGTCCATTGGTGGTGAACTGGCTGAGCTGTAGCGGTCAATACATCGCTCTTTCGATGTCCACGTCCTCATCACAAAGCCACCCAGTGAACTTTGCAGGGCTGAAGTCGCCAATGTGTGCCTCTTCCAAGACTTCTCCGACGTTCAAGTCTTGCGAATGCATTATGTACAGCGTGGGCCATACCAGCCAGGGAACGATCTGGTATGTGTACTCTGTGTTAGACGGACGCGAGGGCGAGAGGCAAATGAAACCGATGAGGGTTGCGGAGGGTAGACGGTCCTGGGGTTATGAAGCGCTTGTGCTCCATTGTTTTGTTCTCATTGCTTTGTTTTTGTTTCCGCTCTCGCATTTGAGAGACACACTGTGGCAGGGTGAGTACGTGTTCCTGCTCTGGCACTCACGTGAAATTCCCGTGATTAGTGATGGTAAGATAGATAGCCGTTACGGTCAAGCTCTCAATGGTCGGAGGAAAGCACTTCTGCGTTGGTAAGCGGAGTCTGAGTTTTGACAATTTGTGCATCCTTCGAAAAGTTGAAGCTTCCATTGGGCCGAGGGGTCGCTTCTCTGTTTCTGCGGGGTGGATATCGATCTCAATGTAGCATAACTTGCGAGATGCACGTATGCTGCTTGGCCAAAAGACGCGTAGGCGTGTCGTAATTCCAGGACAATCGAAGATGCCAAGTTGGTGAACCGTTGACAAGCCTCGATCGTAAGGCGACTAGCAAGCGACGTTAGTTATAGCGCTGAGCTTGGAAATGTCGATGAGCTGCGGTCATCACTCGGTCGGCTGTGCTGCGGGCCGTGGTGAAACGCCGCTGGGGTGCATTGCGCAAGCATCTTCAACGTGCCACAAGCCTACTTGGCGTCATAGATACGGAGGGTCGACTCTCACGAACGTCCAATGGCAGGTGGGATGGTGAAGGGTACGATATACGAATGAACAAGTGAAAATGAGAGCAGCACGTGGATGCGCGAAGAACGGTTCGCGCGAGGCTGACTTGACCAAGAATAGCGGATAAGCGGGGCAGATCAGCGTCATTGGGCAGCGGCTCCCGGCGCAGTTGCAGGGATGTGCGTACAGCCTCATGGGAGACGCGTATCCGGTCGACCAGCCATAACATGTCCACGCCGCCGCCGCACATCCACTAACCTGCCAGCTCATCGTTCGTTCCAGGCACCTGGTCGCATCACAAACCACACGCAGTATATAGACGGGTATAACATGACGCAATGTTAGACGAGAACCTCCCCAGTACGTGTTCCCAGCCCAGCCATCCGGGCCAATCGCCATATCAATAGCGGTAGTGGTACTAACCAGCCTCTAGCCTTCTTTCTCAAGGCCTCGACCGACAAGCTCAAGCACCACGAATCCTTCTACTTCACCCAGAACGGCTCCGAGCCCGAGGCGCAATATGCCCTCCACCACGTCGACCCGGCCTCCCACGAGGCGAAGAACACATACGCCGTAGCCTTGTTTGACTCGCGCAACCCCGAGGTTCTATACGGCGAAGTGCTTGCGAAGCCGGGATGGTCGCACCCAACATTGTCCCAGGAGGAGATTCGCAGGAATGGCGGAGTGCCGCCCCCACCCCAGCCCATCTACCCCACCGAATTCGCTATCCAACTCTACAACCCCGACTCGCGCGTTGTCGTTAAGCACTCGACAGCGAAGTGGAGCAGCACCGTCAGCTGGGAATTCAGCATACCTCAGGTCACCTTCAGGACCCCGAGCAACTCTACGCTCGATCGCAGCCTTGCGGACCCCGGCAGCGATGCGAACACGCCCAAAGTCAACTTTGCCTGGCGGAAGGAGGGCAGGTTGGGCAAAGACATGACCTGCTACATGACTGGCAAATCGACCGACCCCACCGGCAAGAAGGTCAAGAAGAGCAAGGAGCCGGATATTGCCGTTGCTCTGTTCTCTGGCCTGAAGGAACTCACGATCATGGAATCCAACCTTTACCGCGTCGAGATTGAGGACTACAAGGGTCTCGAGGTAGCTTTGCTCATCGGGGCCGCTGTAATACGCGATCTGTTTTTCAGCGACCTGAATGACCAGTTCCACATCAACGCCAACATTCGAAAGAACAGCGCGGGTGTGCGCGCGAGGAAGGGCTCATCGCCGCTCGAAGGCCCGAACATCACAGCACCAGTCATGACACCGCAGCCTCCTCCACCGCCAGCCTACACCCCTTCATCGTCGCAATACCCACCCGAGAAGGTTGCCCTTCAGCCTGCCGGCGGCGCTGGCGCGAACGCACAAGTACCTCCACCTTCATATACCAGCAACAACAATGCCGCCAAGCGCTCTTCACTTCCACCGCTAGCTACCAACCAGGCCCGGCCCAGTCAGCCTCCACAACCCGTCCAACCTCAGCGACCTGTTCAGCAGCAGCGCCCGCCTCAACCGCAGCGCCCAACACAACAACGGCAGCCGGGGCCAAGGTTAGATCCACGAGCACAATGGGAATTGGACGCTGAGACTGCGCGATTGAAGGCACAAGTGGAGGCCGAGGCACGCGAGCAGAAGCGCCAAGAAGAAGCAAGCCGGAAAGCTCGGCGCAGGCAGGAGGAGGAACAAGAGCGCAAGACACTGCAATTCCTCGAGCAGGAGCGAAAGCAGAAGGAACGCGAAGAAAAGGAACGACGCCGGAAGCAGGCCGAGATCGACAAGGAGACAGAACGCTTGAAGAAGCAGTTCGGAGACCAGTCCAACCTGCTCCAGCGCCCATCTCCACAGCCTCAGCGACACTCCTCACCCCTCGTACAGGGTGGATGGCAGAACCAGCGACCGAGTCCCGCACCCCGTCCTGCACCCGTTCCCGCACAACCCCCGCGCATGCAGCAACCGCAAGGTGTATACCTGCAAGCACCTGTACAACATCGGCCCGCAGCTAGTCAGAGCAGTTTCTTCAGCAATGGACTACCCAAGCCGGTTGCCAAGGCTAAGAAGAGTTTCTGGGGCTTGAGAACACAGAGCGAGAGCAATGCTGAGAAGATCAAGAAGAAGAAAAGTAGCATGTTTTGATGAATGGTTCTTTGGCGCTGGGGTCATGGCATTGGGTATGGCATTGGGTATGGAGTTTTTGATTAGTGAGTCTTTATGATACCAGACCTTGCAATACAGTCATGTTCATATTCAAGCTTCTTGTTGGTTGTGCGTGTTCGTGTTGATCTGCGGTACGTAGATGCCATGCATCATCTCAAGCCATGCCTCATTGGGTGCTAGCGTTCCCGCGACTTCTACATTCAGCTCCAGGACCACTCCACGTCCAACATCAGCTTCCCGCCTCTTCAATCTTACATCAATTACATCCAACCCAAAACCCAGCCACGACAGGCGCGTAAACCCGCGCCATCATCTCATCTCCGCTTCCGTTCAGCTCGAGGTTGGTCGCGAAGCCGTCCAACCCCGCCAAGACATAAACTTGCTCACTTGAGCACATTATCCTGGGGTCCGTATGCAGGGTCGCAGCTATAGCTCGCGCCACAACATGTTCGCTACAGTCATGAGTGGATGATTTTGGTCGAGGAGTCTGGAACCGGTGTGCATCTATCACCTTTGATTGGATCTTATATGCCTATCCTCGCTTTCCCAATGCCGTGGTCGCGGTTAGCCGAGTGGAGGCTTCTTTGTGTTTGCTTGGCAGCGGAACAGAGGTCAATAGATTCCGCTAGTAGGACAGGCATGTGGGTAGAATTGGATGCGGAGACTCTGGAGAGGAAGGTGTGTTGGAAGTTGGGGTGGGTATAAAGGGTTTGGCAGCTGCATGTCAGATACGGTACGCTGATCACTTTCCCATCCTACATCTTTCTACTTTCGCATCTCCTCGTCCATACCACTACGATCGAACCTAGTTGCAGCATCACCTTCTAGCCGTCACAGCGACCATGTTGTCAACCACCCTCCTCACAGTCGCCGCCCTCGCCGCGGGCGCAAACGCTCACTTCCGTCTCCTCGCACCCACATGGCGCGGTAGCTCCTTTGAAGAACCAGCTAGCCAATGGATCTACCCCTGCGCCAACGTGAACGAAACAACAGACATGGCGAACCGTACGTATCCCATTCCTCTCTTCTTTTCCCCAACATCCTGCCTCCCCATCTCAAACCACCCACTCCTACCCCCCAAACCCCCTTCAACCAACTAACCCACCTCCGAGGCACTCTCTGGCCCCCCACGGGCGGCTCCACCATAATAAACGGCTCCCACACCTCAGCCCTCACATCCGTAAACCTAGCCCTCGGCAGCAACGCCACAAACTTCAACATCACCCTTTTGGAGATGTTCAACCAAACCGGCGCCGGCGTGTTCTGCATGAAAGAAACCGGGAAAGCGAATCTGGAAGAAGGGTTTAAGGCGGCCGGGTATAGTGGGTTGGATGATGAGCGGATTAATGGGTTGATGGCGACGGTGCAGGTTATTCAGTTGGGACATAGTGGGAGTGCGTTGTATAATGTGAGTTCTGATCTTCTGGTGGATTGTGGGGAGGGAGGGGATGTGGTGCTAACAGGTGACAGTGCGCGGATATCATGTTCAACGCTACGGCGGAATTGCTGTCGGATGATCAGTGCCAGAATGGGACGGATGTTAGTGGTGTGGCGATTGCGAATGTGGGTTCTGCGACGGAAGAAGGTGGTGATGCGGCGGCGTCGCCTGCGCCGACTGGTGCGGCGGGTAGGCTTAGTCCTGCTGTGGGAAGTGGGATGGTTGCTGCGGTCTTGGCTTGGGCGTTGTTGTAGGAGGTTGGGAGTGATGTGGTTCAGCGGAGCATGGATGATACCTCCGACCGTGTTCGCAACGGGTACTACACTCTTGTTCTTCAGGCGGATTCAATATGTTTTTCATGATGAGCCTCCATCTCCGTTCCCGTCTTCTTCCTCGTTCTCCCCCACCTCTTCACCTTCCTCATCCGGTAGCTCGTACTCTTGCGGTACCTCATCCTTCTCCGGAGTTTCAGGCTGCTCTTCCTCCGAGCTAGACTCGCCCTCTGTCATACCTGGGTTCCCGTCACGTGTCGATCTTTCGCATTGTGTACATGACTCAGCGTTCTCTTCGTTGGGCCAGCGGCACACTTCACATGTCCATTGGGGCATCTTGGTACGGATGCCGGGGTGGAACGAGGTGAAAGTAGCTAGGTATGTAAGATGCCGTAAGTGACTGCGAGAGTGCACGCGTGTAGGTATCCTGATGAAGCGGCTCATGCCGGGGAGCTGTTCACTTTGCTTGCACAATGCTCATTGTTAAGGATGCGTGGGTACTGCGTGAATGCTTTGTTGTTATGAGCGCGGTACAAAGGGTTTGGGGGTAGGCGCGCATCAATGGGATGGAACAACCTGGACGCAAATGTAGCCTCTGAGAAATGCACACTCCTGTCTTCCGTGTTTGTCTTTCTGATTCTAGAAAGATGGTCCTGTCTGGATGTTTGAAATGCGAGTGAACGTCATCGGACCTCCGCAAGGTCTTGCTAGCAACCTAGAGAAGTGGAACTAGATCATCTGACAGCTGTGAATGTATCAGTTGTTCTTATCACATAATCCCGTCGACCTCAATCTCTTCTTCTTAAACACAAAGCAGCCTTTACAACTCTACACTCTCTGCCACGAAGCAGTACAACTCACCACTGAGCCTGAACATCTATCTTTTCAACACGCATCATCATCATTTCGAGCACGTGAAAATGTCAGAATCTCACGCTCAAGCCTTAAGTCGCATGAACGCATACGTAGTGCCGTCATACATACCAAAAGACGCACCAAGAGGCCCAGCTGCTATGAGAGTGTCCCGTCCAACTCAAGACGAAGCCCTTGATGAGATCGACGACTGGTTAGAATCTGGGCTGCAGTCGTATACAGAAGAGGGCCAGCGCATGCATAATGCGGCGAACGGCGTCCATCTACCAAAGCGTTCGACTGCGGGGACGGGCACGGCGGACGTTGTTGGCAGACGTGAAGAGCCCGAAGATACTTCACCGCCTCCTGCCTACCCTGAAGACCCTTCCGTGCCGCTCAATGAAGACAACGCGTTCATTCCATCCCGCTCACGCGCATCCATGCGGTGTGGTGGAATCGTCCGTCACATCGCCGTCAGCGGTGACTACAACAACATCCACTTGAACACCGGTACCGGGCAGCAGAACATCGCGCATTACGATTATCGCAAGTACCGAGATGAAGAGAATGTTCAAGATTATCAGGTTGCTGTGAACGGCGGCGGCGAGGAAGGCTACGATGGTGCGAACGAGGACCGCAACGGCCACGAAAATAGTCAGGATGATACCCCAGGATATCGTTCGCCAATAGGTGGCCGAGACGATCGAGATAATTGGGGTGACGATCGTTATGATGAAGGATACGACGGTCGTGATAATCGCCAATATGATGATTACCATGAGAGGTACAACGAGCGTCGTGGCCGTCGCAACACGCCTGCACGTGACAGCCGGGCTGGTGCGCGCTACGATGATGACGACGGATACCGAAGTGACGGAGGTTACTATAGCTATAGTGATGAGAGTGAGCACAGTGACTGGTAGGCCGAGGGTAGTGTGCGCATCTCGTTCAAAGAGACTGTAGCGTTGGTCGACAGCAGAAGAGCCCTGGAGCTGTCCGCCTGCACGATACGCGTAAAGAGTTTGGAGGTGCTGAATCAGATTGGTCCATAGTGAAATAATTGGATCTGTAATTACTGTAATGCAACGCAGATCCACAACAACATACTGATATCTTTACCTCTACCACGAGATGTAGGTTGAGGAGGGAGAAGATCGGGAAGGCACGCTCGTGAGACGACGCCGAAGCAAAGGCCACCCGCTTACGTAATGTGTCGTCAAGCGTCATCCATGCGCGAGGCATCCTCGCCTGCCTTACCTCTTTCCATCTACAGTCATCGCAGCTTCATCTCCAGACGACACGTCTACGATGCGCGATACCTACACGGATGTTGCCTCATCATGCCGTGCACTCTGATCGTCGACGAGCTCGGCTCGCGGCCCCGTGGATCCTCATTCGCAGCTTTTCAGCCCCTACGATAGCCTGAGACTATCTGCATTGTTCACCCCAGCCTCTCAGCATTATTGCTTGCAGTCCAGCATGCCACTATCTATACACATGGCACGCCCCGTGATTGTTGCTCTACCGCGACGGTCTGATAACGAATGAACCACTTGTCTCCACCCACCTACCTGCATGAAGTTTAAATCCTCAGCGGATGCTGGCACTTCAGTCTGGTGCGGTCGGCCTCTCAGACCTTCTCCGTTTATTACTGGAAGGCGATCCTTCGGAGCTACTTTTCCTCTTCTCTCCAGACATGGCTTCACCGGCACTCGAATTATCGGCCGCCTTCCTAGGATCGACAACTGATTTGGACGTTTTCGGCCGTGCTTTGAAGAAATAAGCAATCGACTTCCTGCCTCCGCGTGGCGAAACTCTGACAAGGGGATTGGGCTTGACTGTGTCTTTGTTATCGTTCGCATCTGGTACCTTTTCCGGTGGTCGCGAAAACTTGATACCATGCGAGGGTTTCCAGAGATTGACTTCTGGGCCATCGTCTTCTCTGGCTCTCGATTGTGGGGTGGGCCCCGAGTCTGACTTCAGCTTCTTGTTGGCGTCTTTCGACAGGTCTCTTGATGCATCAGTGTCTACAAAACTTTCCGTACGACCTGCCGAACTGGCCGAGCTCAACCGATCCGGACTGTCTTCGACAATAACCTGCTGCGGTAATGGGTCCGCAGTAGTCAACGTACGCCAAGCTCTTATACGGCTGACGAGCTTGTGTTGATCGTCTCCGGTGGCCCTGCGGTTCACAGCATCTTTCTCCATGATGATACCGGTATCACAGCTCTGCAGATCGATAGACTCTACGAAGTCAATGCAATTCTTGGGAATTCCGAGTTTGCGAGCTTGCTCATGAGCAGCTAGGTAGTCGGTTCTGGCGGCCTGCAAGCTTTTCTTGTCAAGTATCACGTCTCTGAGAAACCCCTTGTTGAACTCTTCCCTGATGCTGTTGGAGGACCTCGAACCATTTGAGTTTTGTACGGCCTTGAGGTACCTGGCTCCTTCTCGATCGTAATTATGGCAATAGTTCTCGCATCGATCCCGGGCCCGGATAAGATCTTTATGACGACGTGAAAGTCTCGCTAGAGCACTGAGAACTTCACTACGCGGATCAACAAGTTTTCTCTTGTCAAAGGGCGTCTCTATTTCTGCTCGATGAGCACTAGGCCGGTCATTGCGCTGTTCCGGCCTCTCTTTCCCAACCTCCCGTTGGCTTATTCGGCCTGCCATCTCCTCCCGATTGTCCTGGTTCTGGCGAGATAAGCTTCGGGTTCTTTGCCTCGGTAATGCTCGGGCTATCTTTCGTAGAGGCATATGTGCATCTGCCCACACTTGCTTGAACAACTTCTCTACGTCCAGCCAGCGAGCTTTCATTTCAAAATCATTACCGCTCCACTGACCCTCTATTAGCCTAATCGTTCCTTGGGCGCTATTCCGAGCCTCGAGTGCGCGTCGACGATGTGATTCCAAATCTCTGTACTCAGCCTGGTCCTCATCTTCAACTTGTCCTTCCCTTCTCAAATTGGCAAGGCGCCTTTCGATTCTAGCCACAGCTTCGGTGTGATCGACTTCTAATATCTTGGCTCGCTCATGTCGCTTTTTCCCTGCCAAGTAGGTCTTATGCCATATTTCAGCGAATTGAAGCGCGCGTTCTAGCGACGTTGCAAGCTCAGGTGACAATCGGATAGCCAATTTCGATTCTTGCCCCTCTTTGATCGGTATAATAGCGGCGGGTCTACTGGAAATGAGTCTCTCTGGGTCATAATCACCTTTTAGCTGCCAGGGGCTTGCCTCAGCTTGAAGTGGTGAGGCGTTGTCACCAGTTTGGGGTCTTCCAGCAGCGCTTGATGATGGTTCGCTACCTCTGGCTTTCGAACTCACACTCGTGTTGCTATCGCCTCCATATCTGAGACCTGCTCTTCGTGGGGTTGAAGCAGTTGGGTTGCGACGTACCCGCGATTCGTCACTATTGTAATAGTGATTGGTTATGTTATAGACGTTCATATTGCGTCTGGACTTGTATATATCGCCCTTTTCCCTCCTTCTGGCGGGATGGAAGTCGGCGGTTGAGTTTTTCTTTCGGCCATGACGCGAACTGGTCCTAGCCATGACTAACGTAACGTCTGTGTTTAATGATTGAGTGGCTGGGGCGATCTTTTGAGACACCTGAAGGCTTATTACGAGGGGCAGGTGTCAAGATGACAGTGGGGTGAGGCTTGCTAACATATTTACAGACAACACTGGACTTGCCGAACGAACAAAGGGCCGTTCCTTTGTTCAATTCTCCAAAATTGTCCATGTAGCCGGGACCACTAACAGAGCCATTGTTACAAGTTCAGTCATGACGATGCTTGGCTATGATGTACTAAACTGTTGACTTCAGGAAGCGGTTGCTTTCACGGTAGTCTGTGAATAGAGATGCCCCACGAAATACGGGTGCATCGAGATATATGGTCTGCCATGGAGACCTCGGTCCATATCGCGATGTAATCTTACGTATCAATTGACATATTAAGCAGGGTCTTCTCATCGAGTTCATGTCGTCCTGCACGCGTACGCTAGCTGGATCTTTCACTGCCTGTCCGCTAGCGTGGAGCGAGCCTTTTGGGTCGTAAGTGGTCGTGCACCCACTCATAGACTCTGCACGCACCAACGCCCAAGATCAATTGCAAACTGCTAACGGAAGCTTCTCGGCGCGGACACTGCGTCTCCGGAGCGATGCTCAGTGGTAAGTAGATCACTTCGCTGTAAGCGGCTGTTGCCTTGTCCACATGCTGATGTCCGTGTTGGCGTAGACGAACCGCATCAGTCAGGAGCTATGGCTGACTCCGCTGGTTCTGGTATCTCGCATGTCGCGGATAGTCCCAAACGCGACGCCTTACGGCAGCCCGCACAGCCACGGCAGCAAGATCGCGAGGCACTGTCGACTCCGAACGAAACTACATCGATCAGTTCATCACGCGACATTCCCGATTCGGCAAGGAAAACAGTAGGCGTCGTGGATTCCACCGGAGCTACTGGCGCGCGGCCTGCGGCTTCCACGAAATGGACGAACGACCAACTTTTCTACGACGACGAAGGCGGAGATATCGGGCTGCCATACGACGAAGATGCTGGTCTGATTAGCAGTGATCTCGTTAATACATATAGCGACAACGATACATTCGCGTATACGACTAACGACACGAAAGCTGCATATGGGGCAGCCACGAAGACGGAACCACGTTCCTACGTGGTGGAGGATTACATGTGGGAGGTCAACCCCCCAATGTCTGCACGAAATCGTCGAAACGTTCGCCCTGGGGACATCATCTTGGCACCCGACCCACAACAAGCATACAATCCACGAACCGCAAGTGGTGTACCGACACACGAAGGCCTGGTGTCTAACAAGCTTCGTCCCATGACCGTCATGAAAACTCACGAAGACGATGACAATTTACCAGAATCTGCGACTTGTCTACGCCATTATACGTACCAAAAGAAAGGTCCCTCTAATTTGATGTCAGTATCTGAACTCAACAAGCTATTCAAATTACTCGAACGAGGTAGTTACGAGGAAACAAGTCTCACCGGGAACCGGCCTGTCTATGGATCGTTGTTCGATAGTACCATCGATCCTCAAGCTTACATCCATGGTGGCCACTTGGTGCTAGTACGTCTGACAAACAAAGTTCGCATCATTGGCGAAATCAATATTCCCGATTGGGCGAGGCTAGACATCTTCTCCAAACAGCAAGGTGAGCGCTCAGTAGACGCAGTATATGCCCAATACCCGAAACTACGTGAGCAGGCTGAACAGAAGGTCCGCGAGACTTCCATTCGCGCTGGCGAGCTTCAGGGTGATCATCACAACACTCGAGCTGCTCAAAGCCGGGAGAGCATTGAAGGTATGAACATGATACTCCACCAGAAAGCCATCGGCGACGGGCTATGTGTAAACTATACTAACTCTTGTCATTTACAGATAACGGTCGATTGGATTATACGTCATCAACTGACAGGCACCGTCGCCATGATACTCGAAGCCGGTCTCCCTCCCCATATCGACATCCGTCCAACCGCCCAGAGTACACAACACGCATGCGATCGCCACGTCGAGACCCTCGCGACGAACAGAACTGGGAGGCCAGGCAAGACAATCGTTATGAGAGCTCTCGTGAACGTTCGAACTACCATATCCAGGGACCTGCAGTCACTGATCCCTATCTCCAGTCGCAGGGAAACACCACACTCGCAACTTCTAGACAAAGTACAACCAGCCGCCAGAGTCGTAGTCGAGATTCAGACCGTGTAGACCGGGGCTTTGAATCGAGGCCACGGGACCCGCGAACTGAACGTGGGGATGGACGAGATCGGCGTTCGCGAAAGGAGAAGAGGCGCAAAGGTAGTCGTCGTCGTTAGGGAAATGGCTTGCAACGAACATTGAAGCGGCCGCAAAGAGGCTTTGATGATGGGTACAACATGCTGACGATTTGATGGACACGATCTGACTAGTTAATTTTGATGCGAGATATGGGTGTTTCGTTGGTATACGCTCCACCACGTAGTGTTGGCGCGAAACATGGGGCTCTTCACGGGCATGTGGCTCACTGTTCAGCGAGTGTCTGAGCATCTTGTGTTTAACAGAGTATCTGGCAGATTTGCGATACATCATGATAAAAATGGGGACAACGAAGTTCGTCGTCTGTACATCTGCAACGAGGTTAAGCCTACCGAGACGTCTTCTTCTACCTAGTTATGTCCTCGTTCTTTGGGAAGTAGCTACCATTACTACATCGATCAAGGTATCGCGTACTTGGGCCAGGACCTTCCTAATCCCAGAAACGCTCCACAACATCTTTAGGCAGTGCGCCAATCCTCTCCTTCGTCTCATACACCTTGATATCATCACTGCCCATCGCTACAAGCACCGCAGACTGATGCTCAGTATCCTCTCCGACGGCCTTCCGCAACAGCTGGAGTAGTGTCACAACCTTCTGCAGCGCCTCTTGGTTGCCCTTCTCCCACTTCTCGAAACCCTTGAAGCTGTCTGACTTGCTCCCAGCTTGGGTGACTTCCTTTATCCGGATGTCTTTTTGCCTGTACGTTCCGTCAAAGTGCGCGTTATGCTTCCCACCGAGACAGCAAGTAGGTGTTCTGCCAAACCACATCTGATCGATTGGTCGCGAACTTGCATTGCTCTTCAGCTCCAGGATCTGGTATTGGGGTATCACCTTACCCTGGACAAGGACAGTCGTCTTCTGTGGGCCTTCATGCTGAATGGTTCCGACGTCGTGCTCACCAGGGACAAAGGTAGGAATAGTACTCGGTGGTGCATCGGGGTCTCGCGGCGACTGGATAGCGGGATCGTATGCGTCGACCTCATGGCGTACGACTATGGTAAGGCTACCAAGCTTGTACTTGATGAGGCGATGATGGCTTGTCGCCCCCTCGAACTCGGATTCTGTGAGGGCGCTTTCGAAGTTACGACCGTAGGTATTGGCAGCAGATCTGACCTTTGCGTTGCGCACTTTCCTTCCGACGAAGAGAGTGTTCTTCTCGAAGTCGAGATCAAGATGAAACGCTTGGAAAGAAGCGTTCCTGACGCACTTCATCAGATTTAACATCGTGGTGCGGTTGATCACGATGTCTACGTCGTTGAAGCGGGTGTCAGGGTTCATCGTCGCGATGGCCTGGAAAGCGGGCTCGTATTGTTGCTGTGGAGCACGTTCTGCATGCTCGTCGCTGAAATGGTAGCCAGAGTCGGGCGCAATCTTGAGAGGAAAGTCTTGATGGTTAGGCCGCTTGAACGCTGGCGGCGATCCAGGGACAAATATGGTGGACATTGCTTCGTCCATGAAGCTGTAACTGCAGAGAAGTGCATACCCCTCAGCCGAGGACACCTCGTCCGAGCTGGGATAGATATCCTCGTGGGTGCCCTGCCATACGACCTTGTCTGCGTTGACGTTGGCGTACATGTGGGAGTACCATTCTTCGCCCTTGGGCCTCGAGAATGTCTTGAGGTTCAAGTCTATGTACACGCGTTTGCCGCTAGTCCTATCTATATAGTGCGTCCCATGGATCGTTGATGTTGAGAATACAGGGTTTGATGAAGCTCGAGGGCGTCCAAAAACAGCTGGCCGGGCGGCTGTGTCCATCTCTTTGAGGAAAGCGCTTTGGTCCATCTCTCGGTTGGGGGTCGATCGAAGTATTTAGGCGAGCAGTGGGCTTACTTTCCAGAGTTTGAGTGCCCAGATAGATGAGAGGAAATCTTGTTGTATATAAAGACCACGAGCGAGGATTTAGCGCCTAGGCACCAGAAACGCTGAGTGTCCATCGAGTTGGCACGGACACATAGAGTGAATGTCAGACTCATTTGGACCCGATGAGGCTTTCTGCCTGAATTGGTTCGCGGGAAAGAGCGCAAGAGACCCGTAGTAATTATTTACAGATGACCAAGCGATTGCGAAGACTGTCATGGCTATACGTTAGCAAGCAATTAGACTTAACATCATTGCGAAGTGCTCGGAGATGTTGCACTGGACTCTTTGTGAGTGCTTGATGAACTTGCTGAGCTGGCACAGTTGTCGAAAGTCTACCGCCCTGCGTACCAATATCTCCGTGGGAGTGCTGGCTCGCTCCAGATTGATGCCTTCTTGTGCCAGTGCCAGTTGCGGTATCAGGGTAATGATGATGATGCGTATTGTAGATGATGATGCCATGTTTTGCGACATAGCTGTGGACTTGCTCGCCAGTTGGAATGGGCTGTTCAGATGCGGCTGACGTACGGTTCTCCACGCCGCATGTCTACCCTGCCACTCGATGAAGTAAAATCCACAACGAATTTCCTCCAGTGTCGCATGTTCTAGACATGTAGCCAACAGGGGCTGGATAGATGGCCCGATACAAACACACAATACTGCTCTTTATGTCTTTGTCCGCTCGATCCTCTTTGTCTATGTAAGCATAGCGACGCCACTTTGACACCGAATCTGCGAAGAAGCCTACGTCGATTAGGTTTGCTCAGTCTGTTAAGCATGTAGTTGGAGATGTAACGGCTTTACATATCTTAACTATTGCATGGCGGAGTTAATGTTCCCAGGGCTGCATTCTGTGTCTGTGCATGGGACAACACCGCAACCACGTCGGCGCAGTAGATCCCCAAGTGCAGAGCTACAAACCTTTCGTGAGCGCGATGACCGTCATGAAGGCAGTGACCAGCCACGCTACCAACCTCGCACCTATGAGGACGAGCGTACCAGACGTGTGCAAGGAGGTGATTGGCCACACAGCCGTGACAGAGGGGAGCGTCACACGGTACGGGAGTCAAGACATGGCGAGCGGGACCATCGATCTGACCGTGATACGGATCCTATGCCTTTTAACAGATACTATGCGGACAGTGAGGGTCGTAGAAGTGATCGCCGGTATGATTCGCCTGATGGTAGGGAACAAGGACGTGGCGGTAGGCCTGGCGCTTGGGGACGTGAAACACAGATGGGTAGAGGCCGGGGAGGAAGAGGAGGATGAGGGGGATGAGCTCACTACCGCCAATACGTCGTAAAGGACTTGGCATGTGCTTGTGCGATCAAAAAAACGAGTAGATACATGAGACACGCGTCGGATTGTGCGACGGATCTCCTGGGTCGTCCGAATATCAAATATGTAAAACTAGTCCTTCTCAATTTTGTGTTGTCCTCATGTACTGGGGTAACAAAGCGGCTTTGGATGGAGGCGTTGCACTGAGATGGAGCACGAACAAAGGACGGCGGCGCGACGCGTCATACATTGAAGAACGCGCTATCCTCAAAACGGGATGATACTGCCCAGACCTCGACGCAACCTCTCAAAGCACTCCAGGGCTATGAGCCGACCTGAATACATCCATCTCTGGAGCATTGCAACAGTTCTATAGCGATGGCTATGGACATTTCGTATAGTTTGCTGAGTTCCTGAGACATTGTGGTGTTGGAGGCTTACGCGCTCTGGAGCTTTACCGTGTAAAGCTAAGCTGCGGCGCTTGGGCCACATCCTACGGTTGGTGCTGTGAACTCGGGAGCTCATGGGCGCCAACCGTCAAGCCAACCTTGGAACACTCCAGCTTTTGCCGCATCCCATCTCCAACCAGCCGCATCTATGCAGAACAGAAATGTCTACATCCGTGTCTGCTATATCTCAGCACGGACAGCGTTGTGAGTATTGCTCGTCCCAACCGCAGCCCCTAATGCAGGCATCACATTCGGAAAGCGTGTTTGTCACGAGGTACCATCACAAGAGACCCGCACGTTGACACTTTATGCTAATAAATAAACAGATCACATTAGGTATCGCTCGTATACGCCACGAGGTGCCTATTGAACCAAGTTAACAGCTGTCTCGTGAACGCCTTCGCAGAGCATCGTTACCTATTCACGTTCAACTCGGATACCCCGACGCACGCGTCCCATTCGCTCGCCGAACGACCATGAATGATATCAGCCTCTTCGATACATCCCGATACCACCCCTACCACCCTTGTGGTGTCTTTACAATATGATGCAAGCGACGATGCGCAATGTTGCGCGATGTTGCGCGCAGATTAGCTTCATTCGCTTACTCGCTCCATTCTGATGCCAGCGGCTCCTCCTTCTCGTCCTCCAGCATCCTGCTCGATGAACGATTTGTTACCACGACGCTTACTACTAAGAGCACTTGCTGCGAGTCCCGACTTGTTCTTCGTCGCTGTCACTGAACATAGCGAAGACGGAGCGCTACGATGGCCTGACGCTGCGACAATCTCATGACCACATGGACATTCCCACCCCGGATCGGGCGGTTGTAATTGCGATGAGCATGCTCAACAATCACCGCATCGAACCTTGCTACCCCACTCATCAATGCGTCTCCGCTTGCGTCCGTAGGCGCGCTCGCTGTCGGTGATGAGTATGTCGCGGTTGCTGAGCAAATAATCCTGATTCCTCTTCTTTGAAGTTGGGGGCGGCTCGATGTTGTACTTCGCCATGTATTCCTCAAGATTCATCTTCCACTTCCAATCCATCTCCTCGTTGTGCTTCTTTTCTCGCGGCTCCACCACTACCGCCTCCTCTACCGCGGCCCTTTTACGTTTTGATGACGTCTTGGCCACCTTCGCGGGATCTCCGGCGATTGCATCCGTTGGAGTCTGCGAGTTCAAGGGCGAAGTTTCCCTTGTCGCCTCCGCTAGAGATCCCTGACCACGTGCACCGAAAAGGTTTTCATTAGGGGCGAGATTACTACTTCCCTTCGTTTTCCGCTGGTTGTCGTTCATGGCAGCTTCGCCTTCTGCTCTTTGTCCTACTAGGCCGGGCCCATTCGCTTGCTGGCTAGTCGGCTCACTGGCACGACTTAGAGCCCTCTGGACGTCGGTGAGAATCTGTTCGATCTTCTGTATTGAAGTAGGCGTTTCCTCTGGGGCACAAAGAGCTGGCGGGGCCATCGTGGACTCAACTCTGATGGCAGAAAGCTCGCCTGGGGGCATCTTGGGAGCTGTAGCTGCGGCCACATCCAGGTCATCCGCCGCGAACTGTCCCGGCCCATGCGCCTTGGCCTGCCTTTCCAGCTCGGCTTCGTCCTTCCCAGCAGGCTGCTCTGGACCATAGACACCAGCGGCAACACCAGCATGCCATCTCTCAATGTAACCTCGGTCGAGCTGTTTTATCGTCGCTTGGTCCCACCAGTCTATGTCGTATGCAATGGTGGGGTCATCATCGTCTTCAGGGTCATAAATCGTGACATTAGCAGCTCGAGCTTCTTCCGTTGCTTTGACATATGCCTTCTCAGCTTTGTCGAGGTCACGGATAAGGGGACGCCAACCTTCAAGCCAATGTCGAGAGAACTCTGCTTGGAAGTCGGCGTCTGGGCGGTTCGCTTGCTGATTGATGTATTGTTCTAGCATGCGCCCGTATCCTTTGCGATAGTCCTCATGCTTCTCGAGGGCTGCTTGGCATTTATGTCGCGTAGACCGCTCATTCATCTTAATTCGTGCGCGTGTGAGCTCACGGTGGCTGGGTGTTCGTGCTGGTGAGCTTTTCAAACAGCTTTTGACCGTCTTAGGTACCGAGAGCGGCCATTGGGCATAGTTGGGGTTGACTGATGGCTGGTTGGGCTTCTCAGGATTGATCTTCCAAGGCAGCTGGATCTGGCCTTCCGACTCCGGCAGAAGATTAGATCTCGTAAGGATATCCGCCTCCATGGCCTCTGTTTGTCGTACAAGATCAAGCCACATATCCCCGAAGCGTTGCAGGTATTCGGGTAAATACTCTCGCTCAGCTTGCAGATCGGCGCGTACTTGGCAAGCGTTATCCATATCGGTCGAAAGTGCCCGAGCTTGCAGCAGTTCGTCTTGAGTGGGCTCTCGGTCGTCCCGCTCGAGGACTGCATCCAAATCCCGGAGCTTCTCCTGCTGCTCTGCTTGGAGCTTCCCGATGCGACTCTCCTCATTTGACAGGTCCTCCGTACGCTGAGCCATGGCTTCGCGCAAACCGCGCAAATGACGACCTGTTTCGACTTTCTCCTTCATCTTTTGAGCGAAATCGTACGATAACTCCAAGCACAGACCGCCCTTGTCCCCATTGCTACACCCTCGCTGGAACAGCCGCGGGGGCCCTCTTGTGTACAGGTGTTCAGGGTTCAGCCCGTCTGGAGACTTCCACGCATCGACTACAGAATCGGCTCTCGTAAACGCGCCGGCCGGGGAGCCTTCCGAATGCTGTGAAGGGTTTTCAGGATCGTGTTGGCTCGTCTCGATTCCGCCTAGATTAATAGTCGGTACCGATGCAGAATTGACAGGGACGCGTGTCTCGTTCTCTGGTTCCCGGGAAGCTCTCCTCGAGCACTGGCTGCCTTTAGCCAAAGATGAGGCTGGAGTTGTGCCAATGGGTAACGATGATATGGGTGCGGCCATCTCTTCATTCTTTGAATTGTCCTGGCTTTGTTTTTCCTGCAACCTTTCTCCTGAATGACCCGCTGTATGGGCTGGACAAAATTATGGTATATTGGATTGATCAGCGCTCGTGGGTGGGAAGTTGCAACGATGGTAGGATGTCTTGCGTGCTTGTCCGTACCCGTTGACGTATCTCAGTGACGTCTGTGCGTTGGTAACGAGCTCCAGCTTGATGGCTTCACTGGTACTCTACGAATTTGCTCCAATGTCCTTAGTTGCTGTCGCGCCAAAGGCCCGATGTCTTGGTCTGCGACCTTGCAACTGTTAACCTAATGCCTACTTTGGTGTGTATAACACGTCTATTCAGTTTCGAACGGATGTCGACCCCACCAGCTTGCGATACGATCTCTCGGTCACACTCACTTTCGTTTTCTGGGAGTAAAGAGATGTCATGAGTACACCTGCTTTATCGTCAGTGAGGGCTTATCATCTAAATCTAGAACATTTGTTGGTAGGCACAATGACCACCGGTCTTTGTTGCCGTTTCATTACGGCCCTGCGAGACATAGTGAATGCTCTGCTCGACTCCCAATTGGGCTTAGGTTGCAAACACTCTGCTTAGTGTTTCCCAATTGGTCTAGTAAGCATTCTCGTGATCTATTGGCCTATCTGTGTTTACTACTCCAATTGATCTCACAGCTCCCTCCAGAGTGACGCAAGCTCTCATCGCAGGATTGCCGTCCAGACAAACCTTCCATAAAGCGCAACTTGGCCTTGCAGTGCGATCTATCGTCGCTGACTGAGCTCATTGCGGTTACGGCTGATATATCATCACTGCAAGACAAGGCGCTCCCCGGCCCATCCGTGTCCTGTACGAACGCCATTAACCATCAAGTACCGGGTCTGCATCATGGCGGACAAGTCTGGAACTTCCAGTGGTATTACACTCGAGCTTTCATCGGGCGACAAACAAGCTGACTTGCAAGCCGACCGTATTTCTTCGCGGCCAGTCACAACCCCTCCGCCAGCCTCCCGCGCCACCGCCGACACCTCCCCTTCTTCAAACCTGGCAGCTTCGAGCAACATCACCATCAACTTCTCCGGTACTAATACAGCCAACGGCGTTCAGGCAAGCGTCGGTGTTGACCAGAAGAACACTGTCCGCAGCTCGTCATCAGGTCCGCCTCATGCTGGTATGTATAGAGGAGACCAGACTCCTCGATAGTCTGTCCTATTCGTATCGACTTATGTGTTCGGTCGTAGCTTTACATGAACTAACGCCGTGAAGGTCCGTATTCCAAGATCAATGTTGCAACGTCTGAACCCACTCGGCCTTCGGATAGACGTGTCGACACAGTCGCCGAGCGGGATCATTCCAGTGCCGTTGCATTAGCCAACAATGACACCCCACAAGAGGCACGTCATCCTTCCAAAAAGACTTCTCGATCATTGTCGTCCACTTCAGGATCGAGCGCTCAATCTCTCACAGAGAATGACGATTGTTATCGGCCTAATCATTACCCTCCCCGATCTGATGGATTTGTCCCAGTTGACCTGCCTCAAAACCCTTCGCTTTCCTATAGGCATGAGAAGCTTAGGGACGAGATGCATGACTTGCTGTCAAGAGCTGCGCAAGACAGCTGGGAATCAATGATTCAGCAAGTGGACTCAGACGAAGTCATCGTGGGTGTCACACCGGTTACGGATCGAATGAATCGTCCAGCTAGAAATCGCAATCGCAAAGAGTACGAAGTTGGTCAGGTACGCTGGACATACATCGTCGAGTCTAGTTCTGATCCTAATCTGATCAACACCCGCGCTGATCGGTTAATCCGAACTGGAGAGGGCCTGATGCTGGCAAAATGGCGCCCCACAGTAGTCGTCAGTGTAGAGCCGCAACACTGCATAGTTGCAGAATTAGGTCGTCGACGTCGCCAATATTTCGACAAGCTTTCACTGAGTGACCTTCTGGGCCGTTGCGGCGTCGCTCTGGACCGCGACTACGGCGACGACTACGATACTTTATCAGAGGATCATGTTTTCTTCCGCTCTATCGCACGACCACTCGAAATTGGCGGCTACGAGCGTGGAGCCTTCCGACTGGAAGGCTGGAGTGTAGTGCAGCCAGGTCGTCTTCGAACTCAAGGATTCGACAACCTCTGCGTTCCGTGCGGCTGGCTGACGGTGGAATCGACTACGCGTTTGCTAGCAATGCAAGCACAGTTGCCTAACTTGCGAGCGATTGTAGAATCGCGGTACAGCGAAGAGTTTCTGCGAAAGCCGCTTCCCTACATGCTGGCTCCAGAGCACCGAGCCGCGCTATCGTACATCAAGCATGAGTTCCGGCAACTAGTTTCTCCCTCTGTTGACAATACTAGCACGTCCTCGGGACAGGCGACAAACCAACAGGGAGGTCGCGCAGAGATTCGAGCGTTGTTGGAGAAGAGCCGTCAAGATATCGCACCACTACCGACAAGTGGGCTCACTAGCGCCAACGGTCTACCCTCGGCGTTCATTGAGCCTTCTGAGTTTGTCTTCTCCATTCCTGGCAACGGCCACGGTGTCTCGCCCTCTTTCATAATAGACAAAGCAAAAGATGTTTCTCATCTTCAGTGGAAGACGGCGAAGGCTGCTAGAGTTCAGAACGAGAGTCTACTTTATAGAGCGGACAAGAAGTATAAGGCGGTCGAAGCCAATCCTAGGTCATCTGCTGTGGAGCGGAAGGACCTAAAGCGCAAGCGGGACGATGTCGAGGTGGAACTTGAAGTTGCACAATTTCAGGAGCTGGGCTACAAGAAGCTGCACAATGATCTCGGAAGCTACCAGCCGAGCCAACACGGTGGCCAGGGCAGAAATGTGAAGCTATGCACCACTTTGACAGGCAAGTTCAACAAGGTCCAGATTGACAGTCGCAAAGTCAAAAACCATCGTCAACGTTAGCGGACTTAGCTTCTTTAGCAGCGATGCTTGTATTGGCCGCATCGCAGACGAATCTTGAAGGCACTGGCTTCATCTTCGCCACGCTCTCGGTTCGGTTACGTCCTAAACATTAGCTCTCATTGCGGTTACAGCACTTCATCACGCACTCGGAGGACCTGACACATGTTCCATCCGGTCTGGTCGGCTTTCGTGAATTCACACCCCTAAAGGGTCGGTTTCGTTTCTTTTCTTCAGTGTTCAGCAAAGCTTTGAGTAAATGGGTGGCGCTCGGCTTGCTATCTTCGTCTATTGTCCCGAGACTTTGGACGCACTGTATGTTACACACGGCTTACGTTAGAGTTCACGTCTCTAGCATATCATAAATTTCCAGCGAATGAAAAAGGTGTGCATAACTGTAAGGTAGTGCGATGAAGCATTTACCACACATGAAGTGACCCGTCTATGCCTTGGATTAGTCCACTGTACTTTCTGCACAGTCGCATAACCGCTAACCACCTTGTGTATCTTCACAGTGGCCATCACACCTTACCCCTTGGTCATAACACCACCGCCATTAGCTCCAATGACTTGACCAGTAACCCATCCAGCCTCAGGCATACACAGTAACCCAACGACGCCCGCAATCTCTTCTAGGTACGCCGGTCTTCCGCCCAAATCCTTTGCCGCCGCAATCGTCTCCTCCGAGTCAATACCTTCTCTCGTCGCAGCCAAAGGCGCCATGTAGTTCAGCGACCAGGCCCTTTCCAACATCTCCTTCGGGAGGCTTGTATACATGCCCGTAGCTATCGCACCTGGATTGATAGCGTTGACAGTGCAGCGTTCGGCAAGCTCGCGAGCCCAGACACGTGTCATTGCTTCAAGAGCGCCTTTAGTGCCAGCGTAGCAAGACTGCCACCAGAAGCCCATTGAGGTTGTGATACTGGAGACGTTGATCACACGACCGGATCTGTCGTTCGGTAGATACGGCAGTGCCGCCTGTAATACGAATAGTGGAGCACGCGCATTTAGGTTGAAGGTGGCTTCGAAGTCGGATAGTGCGACTGAGCCCATCGGCGCTGGGTTGACGACTGCTGCATTGTTTACAAGTATGTCGATCTGGAACCTATTGTTGTTGCTGAAGGCCGATTTCGCCGCATTGATGAGTTGGTCTGGGCCGTCGGGTGTAGTAACATCAACTCTTGCTACTAATGTCTTGATAGAGTAATTGGCTTCTAGCTCTTCAGCTAAGGCGGTTGCATTGTCTGTTGAAGATTCCGAAGTGTAGTTGATGACGATGTTCGCTCCCTTGGAAGCCAGATGGCGTGCCAAAGCAGCCCCAAGGCCTTTTGAAGCTCAATCAGCGTCTTCTCTTCATTGGGGTCACAGAAGGAGGGACATAGATACCGCGCGATGCTCCAGTGATGATTGCTAACTTATTCTCCAAAGGTTTTGTCATGGCCGATGTTGGTACGAGGTTGAGATAGCACTGTCGCCGCCTAGTCGCCCACTTTAGTCGAACGTAACCTACTTGATGCTTTTGTGCCCGCGGATATGCCAACAAATCTTGCATAAACATCAATAGTTTGGCGAATACTTCATCCCGGGCGCTGCATGTGACAACGATCCTTCGCGTAGGCGGAAGAACATGGGTATGTCCCGCGGGTGGGGATAGGCTTGGCCAGATCGGCGGAGAAAGAGGGATACATGCCACTGGCCCGCCTCACCTTCTTGATACTTTGGCTTTAGAACTGGGGGCCGCTGTGTCTCTTGCGAACTGAGCAAACTCACGTCCTCACAGCACTCCTGGTCAAGCTTGTATAACCTTTCATTTTGACTGCTTCTCATCGATTCTACCATCATGAGGCTGCAGAATCGAGTCGCAATAGTAACGGGCTCGTCCCAAGGTATCGGGCGGGAGATCTGTCATCAGTTCTTCGTTGAGGGAGCTTTGCTCATATGCGCTGATCTTAGACCTATTGGAAAGGGCGAAGATACTGCTACACACGAATGGATCATCAGCAAAGGCGGACGCGCCGAGTTCGTTGAGACCGATGTCAGTGTAGCCACCAGCTGGGAGGTACTCATTGCGCGAGCAGTGGAGGTATATGGTCGACTTGACATGTACGTATTCATCCAGCTATCCGGTATACAATCATACAGGAGAAGTAACTGATATCGTGGCCCTAAAAGAGTGGTCAACAACGCAGGCATCTGCACAGAGGCCAGCAACCCACAACCCATCGATCAAGTCGATGAAGATATGTTTGACGCCCACATGCGCATCAACACACGAGGAGTCTTCCTTGGCTGCAAATATGCCGTTCGTCAGTTCAAGGCACAAGCGCCGCAGCCCAATGGTATGCGCGGTTGGATCGTAAATCTCGCTTCGATGGTATCCAACATCGGTATGCAGGGCCTCAGTAAGTTATTCCACACGAGAACATACGATGATGTTGCTTTTGGCGTTGGGCTTACACGTTCCAGCTGGGTATACGGCGTCCAAGGGTGCCGTGGCTTCGATGACGCGAACCATTGCGCTGGATGTTGCGAAAGAAGGCGTAGTCGCCAATTGCATTGCTCCTGGATGTAAGTCGCCCTTTTCAGTATCGCATGGGCCACTCTAATATCTTTCGCCAGTTTCGCAAACTGCAATGCTCGAGGATGCGCTTGGTGGGGCCTTGTCGTCCGCAGCGGACGCGGTCAAAGCCTCTATTCCTCGCGGCAAATTCGGCCACCCCCACGATCACGCAAGGGCTGCGGTCTACCTCGCTAGCAATGATGCGCAGTGGGTCACCGGACAGGTGTTGAATGTTGATGGTGGCTTAACAGCACAATGAGTCTTGCAAAATTTGCTGTGCATCGGGTCGCACGTCCAATCAGGTGGTCTTACAGATAGCCCGCAGGTACTGCCTCCGGAAACGTCTGGACTTCTTGTTAGCCCTCAGAATTGAAGTCTGTCTAGAACATGAGAGCTCTCGCATATACTGTAACTCCATACCGGTTGTGGTTGTGCCTGCATGGCATGCAATGTGCCGGCAGCGGGCGAATTCCAAGGATATCGCGCTACAGCCCGTTTTGGCCGCTCTTCCGCCTTCCCCGCCCGGGGCATCTGTGCGTCAGGCTCCCCTCTCAAGCTTCCCTCCCAGTATTGACCAGCCACTGCCTTCCATACCCTCTTCTCATCTAGTCACTCGTTTTGCCATCAAAGATTCTCTCCGTTCGTTGACCTCCCGTAGCACATACTGCATCCTTGGCGGGCGTGGCAAGCGACGTGGGGCCGACAGCGGCGCATGGACTCGGAAATATCATGACCATGCCGCATCCTCGCATGTCACATGCGCAAAGCGCGGTTCATTGGTAGCACTGACTGCTCGACCTTGTCACATTCACATCAGGCCTTGTCGTTAGACTTGAATTTCGCTGCAAGGCGCTACTTTAGGAGGAGGATGCAACCTTGGCAGGATCATTGCCTCAGCACGAGGGATTACCAACATTCAGAGGCAAGATCTTGTCTCAGGTTCCGAAGAGGATGTGTGTGAAGCTCAATATGGTAGCAGTATTGTTCATCTTCCTGGACATCTCTCGTCAAGGGATCCATGAAAGGGGAGACTCACGAAGCACGGGTGTTTTCCTACTGTCAGCACATAAAGTAGTCATGGGGAAGGAGAGGAGATTTCATCGAGCATTATGCCTAGTCCTACCTCCCCCTCGCTGGCATTGGCCGTCCTTGTTTTGCTTCCTTTCGATATCATCACTTGGGCGCTTCGCTTTCATGTCCGACTTTCTAGAAAAGCATGGGGTCCGGATGACTGGTCTATGGTAGTTGCAATCGTACGAACACGTCAAATTCTCCCAATATCACATTTACTTATAATGAACAGCCACTTTTTATCATCTCAACGATGGGTATGCTTGGGATCGCCTTCACAGGAGGTGGAAAGAGGGACGACGAACTTACAGTCAACGAGAAGCAGACAGCTATGTTTGTAAGTCAAGCAGTGTGTCCACAAGGTTAATCATGCTCACTATACACAGTGGTGGTCAGTTCTGTCATGTCACAGACTGCAAGCTCGACAATAATTGACTCCGCACAGGTTCATCATGCAAACCATGTTCTGCCTTGCCTCCATTCCCGTGAAATGGGCCATCTGCTTCACCTTACTCCGCATCGCCAATGGCAAAAAGGCATATGAGTGGTCAATATATGTGATTATGGCGGCGGTCGCGTGTGTCATGGCCTCGACGACTATATACGAGTTCTTCCATTGCACACCAATTGCAATGAATTGGAAGGCTGTGGAGGGAGGCACCTGCAAGGCGCAAAGCAACATTACTGGATTCAGCTTTGCGCTCTCTGCGGTTTCAATCTTCTCGGATTGGTTTTGCGCAATCATGTGAGTCTTACCGAAGTATTTGCTTGTGTCTTGACTGATCGTGGCATAGTCCCATTCCACTCCTTTGGAACGTCCAGATCGATCTCCGCGTCAAGATATCCATCATCGCCCTCCTCGGCCTCGGCATATTCGCATCAACAGCAGCCATCGTTCGCCTCACCGTAACACTCAACCTCAGCGCGACAACAGACTTCCTCTACTACGCTATGCCCGTAGCTGCATGGGCGCATGCTGAGCTTGGGCTTGGTGTTGTTCTTGCAAACCTTTCGGCCTTGCGTCCCCTTCTCGAGAAGATGCTCGACCTTGGCTCTACATTGCGCAGCAGCAAGAAGCGTACCGGCGATCAGGCGTCTGGTGATGCATACATGGAGCTTGAGGAGGGTATCGGCAGTAAAAAGAGGACAACTTTGTCGAAGAGACTGAGCGGGCGAACAGGAACTAAAGCAGCTGTTGGTGTTGGAGAAGATCTGGATGGTACCTCTTCTCTAGGTGACGATGATAGGTCTACGCGCAACATTATGAGCCGACACGGGCCGCATAACATACAGATAGACCATGAGTATGAGGTCAGCTATGAGAAAACGAAAGGCCATTGAACAAGACTAGCGGCTGGACACATGCAATCAG